TTTTTTTTTTAATTTTAATTTTAAAATTTTTTTAGTTTTAATTTTTTTTTCTTTTCATTGGGAACACAACACATGTATCATTTTGACTGATTTTCCTGTACTCAGCCTCCAAGAGGGCAGAGGTCATGTCTGTCTTGCTCATTGATGTATCTCAAGTGTCTAGCACAGTTCCTGGTGAAGGTAGGTGCTCCAACAATTTCTATTGATAAACAAATGGGTCAAGGACAACACACACACACACACACACAGAGAGAGAGAGAGAGAGAGAGAGAGAGAGAGAGAGAGAGAGAGAGAGTAGCTGGTACTTATGTTAACTGTCCAGGATTTAGTATGTACCTGCTGGGAATAGGTAGGAAGCATGAACCTAATCTGATACTTTCATTGCTATTTTTTTCAACATGTAGAAAAGAATCAGAACGACTTTCTCATGAACCCCATGGGAAGATGGGAGTTCTGTAGTCTGTCCTCCTTCAGAGGAAAGTAGCAAACAGCACATAACTAGCTCTCATGACTTGAGCTGTGTCAGCCCTGGTGCTGAGCTTGCTAAGCCACACACTGATGCCTGCAGGCAGTTACAGGCAGATGGTAGGTGCAGAGTTTGATTTAGATGGACTCTCTTGAGTTTCCTTTCATCCTTTAGATTTCTTGGTACTGACAGTTTCCCAGTTTCCCATTTTACCTATCATAGTTGTGGACTAAAGAACATTTTTTACATATTTCTATATATTTGGACTTCTTCCAGGATGTGCCATTGTTCAAGTTGCATCATTAGTTATGAAATATGACATCTGTCTTCTAAAGCTATTTATTCTCCTGAGTTTGACAATACAGACTGGCTTTGTGAGGAAGGAGCCAGCTGGACGACTTCTGGCCCTTCTTTGTAAAAGCTCGTTGTCTAATGTGACAGCAGATGTCCTCCAAACGCTCTGGCTTATGGCTTGCCCAATAGCCTGGTGATTGATTCCAGGGGCCTCAAAGAGGCTGATTTTGGCAGCAGAGGTAAATACACTCTGGATGTAGGTGTGGGAGGTGGTAAAATGGTAAAACTATCAGCCTTTATCATAGCACAGACAATTAGGTTTTGTTGGGGAGATTGTCTTTGAAGATAAAACCCTTGGCTTAAGCAGAAGCAGCAAAAGAAAGGCCTTTAATGAATTCCTACAGCCCTCTACTGGCCCTCATCATATCTGAGGCAGCAAATAGATAAAGTTTAAATATTTTTTTCCATTGTCTTAATATTCTGTTAGGATAATTCCCCAGTGGCCCACTTTGTTTTCCTGGCATGTCCTGTTGTACTATTGTAACTTGCAGCTACAAGTACTTCAAAACAGTAGCTTTGGGACAAATAAGACAGATTTTCCTGTATTTTTTTTTTTACCCCCTTCCCTAAGATAAGAGAGTGCTAATAATTCTCTAAGTTATAGCATATGTCAAAGTTTTAAATTAACACATTAATAAAGGAACCAATGGGGAAGATATAAGAAGAGTTCCCCCAGGTTCTTGCAGGAAATGTGTGTGTGTGTGTGTTTGTGCGTGTGTGTGACTAGCAAAATAAAAAATGTTAGACTAAATATGAACCTGGTTAACCTTCTACAAGACAATAAAAGTATAACTCCTCTGTAATACTTTTGGAGTAATTTCCCTACCAGGCTACAAAAACCCTATTCATATCTGCAAACTACCTTACTTTTACAGGACTGCAAATCACTGTGCTTTATCAGTTATGAACTGTGGGTCAAATATCCTGTGACAACAAAGTACCATTTCTCAAGAAAGGAAACTAGTTGGAAACTGCTGTCACCTGGCCACTCAAAGAGTGATGCATTAAAGTTTAAGAAGGCTGCTCTAGAGGAATATTTTAAAAATCAAGCAGTTGCAATTTTTACACTTTCCATGTTTGAGATACATTTTACTTTCTTGATACTTGCCACATGCCACAATAGGGTCAGGGGTAAGCCCAGGTCTCAGCCCTCAGAATGATCCACTAGTTCTAATCACCGGGCCTAAAATGACTAAGTCTTTTCAGCAAGCTCCAGGCAGGCTGTCTTCAGCCAGTTCAGTGCAGTAGGTATCTTCTCCTGCTTCTAGGGGAGGCTCTGGAATTAGGGTTACTGTAGGAAGTCAGCAGGGAGCTCAGTTTGGGACCTGGTTCTGCCATGGTATGTACTAGGGCTTGACATGGATTATTTGCATTAATCCTCACTAAATTCAGATGAGGAGAGGCAGCACCACCCTCGTTTCTCAGAGAAGTGCCCAAGAGCATGTGACTAGAAAGCACAAAGATGGGAATGGAAATCAGGCACGATTCCAAATCCCTTCTTCCCTCTGTGTGGTCTTCCATCACAGAGCCACTAGAACTCATAGCTTTCTGATCTAATTCTTCCAATCTCCTCTTATCTCCAAAATTTTTTAATTCATTGATATATTGAACTCTTATAACCTTCATTGCTAATGAAGAGAAATCCTGTCAGATTTACTAATAATCGACATTACTTTGATACCATTAACTAGCACCAATAATCGACTCTTCGAAACTCCTTTATACTCTGAGTACGCAGCTCTGAGTTCTAGCTTATCATTTATTACCGTTTTGAAAGTAGCTTCTCCCATTATCTGCTTCTCCCACTTGAAACCACCTTCTGGGGAAAAAATAGGAAACTGTGTCTTGTTTATGTTTGTATCCCCTGAAGTTAGTAGAGTCATTTACATATATTTAGTGCTTGATGCATGTTTATTGAACTAAACTAAACCAGTAGACGTGCAACTGCATTAGGAAACTTCCCAATTGTAGGACTCAATTGTCCAAATTAACCTCTAATATAAATCCATCATTATATGCGTATCCTTATTTTTTTCCCATAAAATAAAACTATCATTCCATTGCACAGTGGAGGATTTATTTCACATATCAATTCTTTCAAATGAGCAGGGTCTTCTGCTCTATATTCTTCCAACTGAGGCAACCAGTAATGCTCAGCTGAACAAAAATTTGAAAGATAGAGGCATAAGAGATAAGAGAATTGAATGGCAATATGAAACCCTTGATCTGTTTACAAATGATAGTTTCAAAAAAAGAATGTGTCTGTCATAAGGGTTGACTTAGGTCAGGGGTTATAAACTAAGGGCCACTTTTCAACCTCCTTCCCTCAGAGATATTTGGCAATATCTAGAGACATTTTTGTTGTCATAATGGGTTGAGGAGCAGACTTAATACATTCTTATTGGTTGATTGCCTGGCTTGACGCATGACTTCTGATACCTTCTGCATCTCCACAATTGAATAGTCGTTGTCTAATAATAACCAGAGGGACCGCAAATCCCAGAACATTCTTCTGAATCAGTCATAGAGTATGGCTGTTTCAGGACCTTCTTTTTCTCTCAAATTCTGGGCACTTCACCATCATCTGTCAATTTTCTGTTTATGTATATGCTCATCACACATAACTAGACCATAAATTTCTTTCTTCCAAAGACTGTATGTCTTACTTCACTGTGCCCCATGGGCCACAATTTCTTATAATTCTGCCTTAAAATACGTCAACATTCAGGACATGCTAAGGATGATTTATTTTTGGAATGCAATGATTAGATTGTTGATCCTCCATAAATAGTCTCCATGTTAAACTGAAACTAACCAGAATATGAAGTGACCAAAATCGTCTACTCTCTCACTAATTTGAATAAACTAGGAATCATGGTACTTGGCATTCAGGTTTGTGTTCTTGAGGTCAGGGTTTATGTAACTTTAGATGTTTAGGATTAAAGAGGAACTCCTTTAGTTCTATTTTCTTCCTTGATTCCCTAGCTTGTGAAGATATTGTACTTATCTGAGAAATAAAATAGAGACTTCACTCATACACACACACAAAAAAATCAAAAACAAAAATGAAAGCTGATCTGTTCAACTAGATAAATTGTGGTTGGTAGGCATGATGGGAGTTTGATGTTTAAAGAATTTTGACAGAAGGATCAGCCCTACATAAGTTTGTGACATATGTAGAGGATATGTCTGGCACTCAACTCTTTAATTCCCTTGACATCCTGTAGTATGTCCACTGTCCCCTCCCCCACCATGCTATCTTCCCACCTTTATCAGAAGTCACTAATGTCTGCACCAGAAGGAACATCTGAGGAACAGTTACTACTTTGGTGCTGAGTAATTTCTTGCCCATACCAGGAACACGTGTATTTTAAAACAGAAACTCAAAAAAGGAATAACTAATAATTGGATTTTAAATATCAGATAATTAGGGTGGGATAGATTTTGAGGAGCCTTTCCTCAGTATCCCTAAAGTGACACTATGTTTAAGCCTGAGAAGATAAACAAGCACCAAAAAGACCTCAGGTTGGAGTCCTGTGATATGAGAATAGGAGTTTTAAAAATTCATGTGTAAACTTTTGTTCTCATTATTTCCTGTTCCCAGCTATCAACTGGGAACAAGTACTTTTAGCTTCTAATAGAGGAAGAAAGACAGCTTTTGAGGGTGTTTGAACTTTGCAAGCTTACGTCATCCCAGGAAGCTTAATAATAGAGAAACTACAAGTCATTTAATTTTATTGCTGCCATAAATTGGTTTTCTTTGGGGCTTTTTCTGGTGAGAAATTTAAGTTCAAAAACAGTCTAGAGAATGCACTTTGGAAAGGTTACAGTATCTCTGATGGTAGCAATACTTAGTAAGTCCTTGCTATGTGTCTGGCCCCATCCTGAACACTTTCTATTTTCAAACCATGACCCTACGAGTAGGTTACTCTTCTACTATTACCTCCATGTTCTGGGTGAGGAAGCCCAAGGTCTCAGCAAGTAAATGCTAGAGCCAAAACTTGAATCCACATTGCCTGGGTGCATGTTTTTCAGCCTCTTGCTGTATTGCTTTTCCAATCATCTCCAGGCTGCCTCTGCTGTCTTCAGGGAGTTTTCCCACTGAAGGGGAGTGTCTATGCATGAGGAAAATGAACAATAATTTGCTAAATATGCTAACACAGCTTTTCTTGCTTTCCAGGTTTCGGAGGTGCCCTGGGTTACCTTTCGGGTGCTATAGACTGGGCCCATCTGGAACTGGGAAGACTGCTGGGTACAGAATTCCAGGTCATGTTCTTCTTCTCTGCATTGGTGCTCACTTTGTGTTTTATTGTTCATCTGTGCAGTATCTCTGAAGCCCCACTTACAGATGTTGCAAAGGGCATTCCCCCACAGCAAACCCCTCAGGACCCTCCATTGTCATCAGATGGAATGTACGAGTATGGTTCTATCGAGAAAGTTAAAAATGGTTATGTAAATCCAGAGCTGGCAATGCAGGGAGCAAAAAACAAAAATCATGCTGAACAGGTAAAGATGCAACATTTTTTTCTTTACATGGGAAAAATATTCTTGCTCTTTGTTCTCTTCTTTTTTAAAAAAATTCTTTGTTTTGTGTGTTTGTTTGATGTGAAGAGTTTCGTGGAGTCTAACTGAATTCCCAAATCCCCAGTAGCTATCATCCCTTGGAATTAAAATTTTACATGTCAAAGAAAAATGTCTGCATTTTCCTCTGGTCATCCTATCTCTTACTCCTCTCAGAGCATCCAAGCAAGGAAGATGAAGCCAGTTGAGAAAGGTTAGGCCACAAGAGAAGGCTAAAATCATCCTTAGGCCAGAAGAAATAGCCTCTTAGATTAGGATCATAAATTAGAATTTTTTTCCTCCAAATGGTAGCATCCTTGGGTTGGTGACTGAGTTGGGCATATTGAATTTACCTGTCATGAGTTGACTGGATATTTTAGTTCATTTTCAGTGAACTGCACAGTGAATTCATCAGCTTAAAATCTGAAATAAAACTCAACTAACTGCCAAAGAAATGAGACCACGTTCAGATGAAATGATCAGAGAAGAGACTAGAACGAAGCTAAGCAATATAGTAGCTAATAATCCCATGGAACTATTTAAATAAAAATAAAAATAAAATTAAAACTTCATTTCTTCAGTTGCTTTAGCTACGTTTCAAATGTTCAAAGGCCCCATAGGCTTATAGCTAAAATATAGGACGGTGCAGATGTAAGACATTCTCATCATTGTAGGAAGTTCTATTGGACAACACAGAGGAAGTAATTGCATTTTCCTTCAAGCTAAAATTGAATGCTAAAACCTCAGGGATATAGAACAAAGGATTCCTTGATTGACAAAAGGTTGTAGAAGACTTAAGTTCAAATATTGGTTCCTCTAGCTGCTGACCTGTGTTATTCATTCAATGAATCACAAATAACTACTTGCTATAGGGTAACCTAAAGATTAAGAGTGCAGTGTTTAAATCCTGGCTATACCATCTCTGGATTGCATGACTTTGGGCATTTACATTTCTGTTAAATGAGAAAATGATTCCATCTACCTACAAGGGTTTTGTGCAGGTTGCAGGGGCTAATCCATGTAAAGTTACTTACAGTGTTTGCTACCACATAGTAAGCTGTTGGGTTTAGGTCTTGTTATTATGACCCTGACAGTACACTGAGTGCTTTAGACACAAACAGGGGACACAAATCTGGACTCCAACAACTTTCAGACAAGCTCAGTAAATCTCACCTTCCTGTGAGGTCAGCTTCTCTTGTTGGCTTGGCCAGTCTATTTTCTAGGATTATTAGGATGTTCAACTAAGAAAAAACATGCAAAGACACTTTTTCAAACTTCACGTAAGTATATCAACACATTATAATCATTATTCATTTAACAAACAGCTTGGGGTACTGAGTATGTGCAAAGTGCTGTACTAGATATTTGGGGACCATAAAACTGACAAATGTCCAGTCTATATGCCCAAGAATTTATAGCCAAACAGGTGGCATAAGTCATTTATATCATGACTCATAATCCATGATAGAACATGGTAAATTCTATAGAAACAATGTATCAGTTCAGATCTTTTAAAAAGGCACCAAGATAGGATTTGACATGTAAGAGATTCATTGGAGAAAACAGCATGAAAGATAAGGTGGAGAAAGTAGAAATAGGAAGGGAAAGTCTTCTTATCTTGATATAAGTCAAACACCTGTGAAAGGAGAAAGGAAAGGAAAGAAGATAGGGTAGGAAGACTCTCAGATGCAGTGAAGTTCCAAGAAAGCTTCACCCAGGCCAAATGGGAGTCCTCCAGCCAAAGTTGCTCCTTAGAGGAGTCCCAACTCTTGTAGGAACAGGCTAGCACTAATACCCCCTGTCTTGCTTAGTCACTATCTGGGAACAGCCAGGAAAAGGGTGACCTTGGCAGGAACAGGTACAGGAACAGAGTTCCTTGGCAGGAACAGGAGCAATGGATCCAGAAAGGCAGCATTCGGAGCTGTCGATCAACTGTGTTTTCTCCAGTAGGTGACCCAAATGGCACATTTCCAAGGTGGCCACAAATGGCATAATAACAGTTGCTTTTAGTTTTAAAGAGGGAAGGATTGTGCCTAAATAAATGGAGAAAGGCGTCATGGAGGTGATCGCCCCTGAGTTCTGCCTTGAATGATAGTTAGGATTTGAATAGATATTTTTGGGGAAAAATAATTCTGACAGAAGAGCATCAGCAAAGCCACAGATATAAAAAAATATTTTAAAAGCGTGAAGCATATTTGCAGAAAGTATAAGTGGTACTGTAGATCATAGAGTTTGTAACTTTAGAACTAAAGTTAGGAAAACAAATTGGAGACAGATTTTGGATGCTTTTGAATGCCAGCATAAGAACTAAAATCTTATTAGGTAGATGATGGAGGTCCATCAAAACTAGTGGGGCAGAGGACTCACTGATGTTAGCTTTTTTTTTTTTTTTTTTGGTCTTTTTTTGTTTTTGCTATTAATCTGGCTGCTGACTACTGACTACAGGGAATAAAGAGGAGGGTGTATTTGGGTGAACAATAAGATTTCTTGGAATGGGTTGCACTGTGTACATGCTTCATTCACTTGTACATTATTTTATTCATTCAATAGTTATTAGTTACCCTTGCCAGACCCAATGCTGAGCATCAGAAGACTGTAGTGAACACCAGAGCCCTTGTTCTACCCCATGGAGCTGTCACCTAGCAAAGCGTGCCTATGTGGTATTTTGTTTTCTTAATCAAAGTTTAATTTTTGAATAATTTTAGATTTACAAAAAAAGTTGCAGATAGTAGAGAGAGTTCCTATCTATGCTTTACCAGCTTCTCTCTTATGTTAACGTCATAGACAACCATGTACATTTGTTAAAACTAAGAAATTAACACTGCTTCAGTACTGTTAGGTAAACAGCAGACTTATTTGAATTTCACCGTTTTTCTACTAATGTCCTTTTAAAAAAAAAATATTTCCATAGGTTATGGGGGAACAGGTGTTGGTTGGTTACATGAGTAAGTTCTTTAGTGGTGATTTGTGAGATTTTGGTGCACCCATCACCTGAGCAGTACACACTGCACCCAATTTGTAATCTTTTATCCCTCATCCCCTTTCCACCCTTACCCCCTGAGTCCCCAACATCCATTGTGTCACTCATGCCTTTGCATCCTCATAGCTTAGCTCCCACTTTTGACTAAGAACATACAATGTTTGGTTTTCCATTCCTGAGTTACTTCACTTAGAATAATATTCTTCAGTCTCATCTAGGTCACTGTGAATGCCATTAATTCATTCCTTTTATGGCTGAGTACTATTCCATCATATATATAAAAAATACTTGCACACTCATGTTTACAGCAGCACAGTTCGCAATTGCAAAAACGTGGAACCAACCTAAATGCCCATCAAAGAGTGAATAAAAAACTGCGATATATATATATATGTGTATATATATACACACACACATATATATATGTCACAAGAATGACAATAATAATAAAAAAAAATAGATGTTGGCCTAGATGCAGTGAACAGGGGACACTTCTACACTGCTGGTGGAGATGTAAACTTGTACAACCACTACGGAAAACAGTGTGGTGATTCCTTAAAGAACTGAAAGGTATCTCACTGTGGTTTTGATTTGCATTTCTCTGATGGCCATCTCACATCAGTTAGAATGGCGATCATTAAAAAGTCAGGAAACAACAGGTGCTGGAGAGGATATGGAGAAATAGGAACACTTTTACACTGTTGGTGGGACTGTAAACTAGTTCAGCCGTTGTGGAGGACAGTGTAGCATTTCCTCAAGGATCTAGAACTAGAAATACCATTTGACCCAGCCATCCCATTACTGGAGATATACCCAAAGGATTACAAATCGTGCTCTATAAAAACACATGCACACGTATGTTTATTGTGGCACTATCCACAATAGCAAAGACTTGGAACAACCCAAATGCCCATCAGTGATAGCCTGGATAAAGAAAATGTGGCACATATACACCATGGAATACTATGCAGTCATAAGAAAGGATGAGTTCATGTCCTTTGTAGGGACATGGATGAAGCTGGAAACCATCATTCTCAGCAAACTATTGCAAGAACAGAAAACCAAACACTGCATGTTCTCACCTGGGAATTGAACAATGAGAACACTTGGACACAGGAAGGGGAACATCATACACCAGGGCCTATTGTGGGGTGGGGTGCTGGGGGAGGGATAGCATTAGGAGATATACCTAATGTAAATGTCGAGTTAATGGGTGCAGCACACCAGCATGGCACACGTATACATATGTAACAAACCTGCACATTGTGAACATGTACCCTAGAACTTAAAGTACAATAAAAAAAGAAAAAAAAAAAAAGAACTGAAAGTAGAACTACCATTTGATCCAGCTATCCCATTTCTGGTAATATCCTTTTTCTGATCCAATCTAGGATACCACATTACATTTAGCTAAGTGGTTTACAAAACTAAAAACTGTACTTTATTTTAATGGTATTTTAGGGATTTTTTTTTTTTTTGCTATGTATAGTCAGTAGAAAATCTCATTTTTTTGTATTCAGTTATGTATATAAATAAAAGCAATACATCTTAGCTGTTAGTTATAAAATTCTGTAAGTAGTTTTTCCTTGAGATCAAGCGCTTCCTCCAGTATTGTTTGCTCTGTTCATTTGCTTAGCATTTTTCCAAAATAAATGCAAAAGTAAACTTCGACACTGCTTATGTTTGAATTGGCAAAATGGTTGAGTATGATCTGCTGAAAGAAGGCCTCATTCTATCACCGTGACTGCCTTGGAGTTGAGTTGCCACAGCACATCAACCTGCCTCTCCCCATGCCACTTGACAGGAGAATGCAGTTGAAGAGAATAATCTATTCATCTGATTCCAACAGTAGCTCCTATTTTAGGATGAGTGCAGTGTTTTCCATAACTATAAGAGTGCAAGGAGGAACTATGAGGTCATTGGGATAAAGCCTTCATTTTATCTCGATCACACAAGTAGAGAAAAT